ACAGTGAGCTCATCCTCCAATTGAGAATTGCTCCCTCTAATTATAAAAGCTCGGTTCTGAGATGGCGTGTTATATGATATATCCATACAATAAATAATTGTACTCAATGCGATATGTACTTGAGGAGCATCACTAAAAGTTTTAAATCTTACTTGTACAATGACATATTCTGTTAAGTTCTGCTCCGATGCAAATCCAACGATGCTTCTCAATTTGTCGGTGACCGATTCCAGGAGGTCCTCATCAAATGTCGTTGATTTCTCTGTTACATTCGCTAATTCATCAGATATAACTTCTATATTGTCCATCGTGATATTTGTCTAAATTAGCAATTATTGAAAAAGAAAATGTGAGAAAATGAAACACAACTAACCCTCAAAACTTTAACTGCGTATCAGAGCTGTACAAATATAAACATATATTCAAAATTGAAAGAAAAAAGTAAATGAAACTACAAAAAAGGAGATAACTTCATAAAATATTATAATTTTTCAGAATTGCATCCCTATTTCTACCTTTTGGGGTTCCTTTTTGGCTATCACAACCGCTTGCGGAGATAAGCTAAGGCTTCCAAAAATGCACGAATACTTCGCCTTCGTAACATTGTATGGGTACATGCTGGGTTGAGAACGTTAACGTGGTTTGATTGGCATTTGTACGCTTGTAAAATATATGAATATTCCCCAGGAAACTAAGCGTGTGCACTATCATGTGCTGATTAGCAATTTAATCCAATGACCGGGGTACAAATAATTACAATGTAAAGTGCTTCGCAACATAATAATATTATAAGCGGTGCTTTACAAATGTAACTATTATTATTATTATTACTATTATCATCATATGTAAAGCAGATAGATGATCTAGACTATGCTTTTTACATGCTCGCTTCCAGTGGCCTATCCAGGGGGGGGGGGGGGGGGGTGGTGGGGGGCCCACCCCCCCCCCCCTTGAGAAAAAAATCATGTAAAATCACGTGATTTTTACCTTTTTTGGGGTTGGGCCCCCCCCCTGGCCCTCAAGGGGGGGGGGGGGGGTGCAAGTTGAAATAAATTTTGAGGACCAAAAAAAAAAAATGTGCTCACTTCCCCCCCCCCCCCCCTCCCCCACCCCCCACTGAGCGAATTTTTGGCCGGCGCGATTTTCAAATTTTCGGGAGCAAAAAAAAAAAAAAAAAAAAAATTGTGCTCTCTACCCCCCCTCAACCCCCCTCCCCACTGAGCAACTTTTCGGCCGGCGCGATTTTCAAATTTTCGGGAGCAAAAAAAAAAAAAAAAGTTGGGCCCCCTCCCCTAAGAAATCCTGGATCCGCGCCTGCTCGCTTCCTATCATCATTTGAAGAACGATGTGAGGTTTTCCTTATTTGTTATAAAGTTAAGAAAGTTTCACGTGTATTCGGGATCATTATTAGGATGACCTAGCGCATGTTTATATTTGCTTTGATTGTCTTATATTAAAACATTGTACAGTCTCCGAAATATTCTTCTATCAACGTATAAAACAGAGGGGAAGGGAAATCGGTGAGAGTCTTTAATAGGTTTCCTGTGATTATTCTTCATGCACTGATATCATAATATTGAGAGTGATATATCTATTAAGAATATATATATATATATATATATATATATATATATATAAAGGCGTGAAGAAAATGGTCTAGGAACGTGAGACGTAGCTGTACTTTACAATTTTATTACGAGCTTTCAGCTTGTGAGGCCTTATTCAGATTCTGAAGAGCAAACACATACAAAAACAAATACATTGTATGAACAGATATACATGGCATACAAACTTATATATATATATATATATATAGAGAGAGAGAGAGAGAGAGAGATAGAGAAGGAGAGAGAGAGAGATAGACAGAGAGAGAGAGAGAGAGAGAGAGCATTATAGGTGAGAGCAAAAGGAAAAGCAACTGAAAAAGTTATTAATGTTTAAGGATGACTTACATTCACTATCTTATTAACTTCTTCTTTGATTGGTGAGAGAGTTGTAACTGTGAAAAGAAAATCAAGCACAATTAAAAAAGAAATGATGTGGAGTATAATCACTATAGTAGATAATTATTCGGTTTCCGTGGTACATGGGAGCACTAAAATTAAAGGCTATCATGAGGCACAGGCTTACGAGAGATGATTCAAGAGATGATTTCAAAGTGATTAAATTATATAATTTCCTCCTAAAAATAAACAAAAAGCAAGACGATGGAAAAGAAAAATTACTTTAAATAGCCATTTTATGACATGTAATCGTACATATGTATCTATATATATATAAATAATTCATAAAATAGTGTGTGTCAAAAATAATCAACTGTGACTGATTGCCAAAAAAAAAATCGAGAAAGAAGAAAGAAGAATGCCTTTATGTAATCAGACATGTACGTGGTTACCCCTGCACTAGAGTGGGAATATTGCAACTATCATTATTCCTGATGACTAATCTTGTGATGACTCTCAATTATTACAGCTGAACAGCTGAAATGTCCATGTTCAACTATGCGTTTCGGTGTATATCGTTTCAAATATAATTAAAGATGCCGTTTAAACGAAAATGATATAAACAAATTGCAAATGGTGTAAAAAAAAGTGCTGCGAGACTTGTCGAACGAGCAAGGGGGAGAGATCCAGTAACACCCATATTGACTCGCCTTCATTGGTTATCTATAGAAGAAAGAATTGTTTATAAAGTTCTCATGTTGTGTCACAAGGTAATGATTCACAAATCCCCGACTTATCTTCTGGATATTATTTCTTTCTTACGTACCCGGTAAAAATGTCCGCTACTCATAAAGAAGTTCCTGATTTTCCCTACCACATCAACCCAAACGCATGGTTCCAGTGGCGTAGACAGGTTCGTACACATGGGGGGATGACTCAGGGGCGGATCTAGCTTTTTGCTAAGGGGGGAGGGTGACCAATAATGACGATGCGGAGCATCGTCCACGAGCCGCAAAGCGGCGAGCCGATTTTTTTTTTGGGTGTTTATTTGAACCCCGTAAGTGATGTTTTCCTGGCATCTATTAACACAATGGAGACCATAAAAAGCAGTGCATGATAACGTCTTTTTAAATCAAGTAACAGTTAAATACACAGTTATATCCAGAGTTATCATGTGTTGGGTTAAGTTACCAGATGAGTTGAATATCTTCTCACAATATTTGCACTTGAAAGGGTTTCTCTCTAGCGTGCGTTCTTTTTTCTTTCTTTTTTTCTTTTTTTTCCTTTTTTTCCCCCCTTTTTTTGTTGTTTGTTTTTTGGGCCGCCCAAGGGGGGGGGGGGGGTTTAAACCCCCCCCCCCGTAGATCCGCGCCTGTTTAATCTTGTGGTTATCTTGTGGTTTCCAAACCACAAGATAACCACAAAATACTTGTAAGAGTTTTCTTTTTTTTTACCGTCTGAATTGGCTTTCACCGTGTGAATGCGGCTAATAACAATAAACACAATTACAATAATGATGAGGATTATCATTATCATCATCATAATTATTGTTATTATTAATATTATAATTGTTATCATTATTATTATTACTATTATTATCATCATTATGACTTATTAAGTAAGCAAATATCATTCCCCAAAACCTGGGGGGATGATTGTACATGGGGGTTGATGAGGGGGATGCATCCCCCTCATCAACCCCCCCCCCCCGTTGTCTACGCCCCTGCATGGTTCTGGTGCTTGTTCAACGGCAGCGCCTGTCTTGTGGAACCAGCTTCCTGACCAGCTGCGAGTTGTTGGGAGCACTTACTGCTTTGGGAGAGCCATGAAAATTATTTGTTTTCTGGGGGTTTCCTAGAGCTGCCTTGTCATTTTGCTGGTTAGGAGGTTGGTTCAACATAATCTGTTTGTTGAATTTGTAATATGTAATATATAATGTCAAATAGTTTGACTTAGGTGTAATTAAGGGTGAATTTGATTTGGTTTGAAAATGTCTTTTTGTGGGAAAATAACGACCATTAGTTGTCGAATCGACTTTACCAAATCATAGTAACCTGGAAAGATTACATAAGAGGGCAGCATATATATGATATCTCGTTCTTCCTGGGAAACCCCATCTGAACAAATTTGTGAAATACTATCCTGGCCGAAAGTAGATAATCTGTTTTTAGAGCATCTTGTTGTATGATTCACAAATGTTTACATAAAGCTACACCTGAAGTACTCGGTGATAAGTTTATTTGTATCGAAGCAGTATCATCTCGAACAACAAGGAGCACAAATACGATAAAATTTCTAGTCACAGGTCCATCAAACTGGAATAACTTGCCAGAAGAACGCATTAGATTTATAGAAAATATGAAACCATTTAAACGAGAAATGGCAAAATGGCAAAAGGCATCCTCGTTGTATGGTATAATATAACTCTTCTTTCTCTCCTCTTTGTATATATTTTATTATATCTTTATTTTATTTTTTCTTGTTTGTTTGTTAATGTTTATTATTTTTATTTTTTACTGTTTGTTTCAATTTGGATATATGGCATTTGCATATTTGTATCATATACATATTACTAATTTCGTTGTTCTCCATGTTCAAATCCGTTAATATATAATCTGGTTTGCAATTTTGTGTTTGTTAAAGTCATATTTTGTAATTTTCTATTTTTATTTATATTTTGATTTGTTGAAATGTATAAACTTGCTTGTGTAATGAAGGGCCTCAACGAAAACCAGTATTTATTTGCTGCTTGGGCTACCCTTCTTTTTTAGAATGTGTAATAAATAAATACAAATAATCTACGCTGACTAGCTCTAAACACGACCTTAAGGCCGACCAGAATAGCTATCGTGTGAATACGGCTTAAAATCAGCTGTGTTACCAAACGCATTAATGCTCTCGTCAACCTATGTTATCATCAAAACTGATTGTATTGGAACCGTCATGTTAAACTTTTCGACAACCAATGATGGAAATTAGCCTGATAGAATGTTGTCTCGCCATTCGTCCCTTTCTAAGAAGGTATGCAGTACCCAAGAGCATAGAAATATTATTCTCTAGTTGGCATCTCTCTTGTTTGGTACTATCTTGCAAGGTTCTGAGTAAAGCTTTATGAATAACAATTATTGGCAACATATAGTAGATGGCAACTCGACATAAAATACTGTCAGTGATAAGTAAGTTAACTTCTAAACTATGTTCTTACTTAACCCGCGCTTTCTCCATCTGAGAGAGCACACAATGTCTAGTTTCCAACGACAACTGTGGGGGAGTTGGCTACTCCATAGTTGGTACGTAGGGATTTTAGTGGGCTACTATAGTTTTGATTTTATGCAAATAGCCCTGACATTTTATAAGCTATTTACAAGTGATTGTTTTTTAACGGTTACCTAAAGAGCTGCTAGTTGTAGATTTCGGAGATAGAGTAGATGAGATCCCTTGAGTAGTGTCTTCCTGTGATGTTTGGCCTGGAGTACAATTCCAAGGAGGTAAATGAATCATATTGACAATCGACTAAATAAACGAATTCGTAAAGTAAACCACGTGATTACGAATGGTAGTTGGAAAGGCTCGATTATGTTAAACAGTAAAAATGGTATTCATGAAATATTATTTGAGTTCGAACACGCAAAATTGAAGAAATGTTCCCATGCTATTGGTTAAATAAATTATACGTTCGAAAGAATATTCAATTAAGTATAATGAACAAAACTATTACAATTTGATAGAAGTAGCTAAAAAAGATTTTGTTGATATATCTAGTTTCAAGACGAAAAATTATTATTTACCCCTACTGAAACAAAAACGTCAAAAACCAAATATTACACGTTACTGGGAATATTACTTGAATTTACCTTTTACTTTAATTGGCAGAAAGTATTCAATTTAAATTTCAACAAATAGGAAATAATAGGATAAAGCAAGTTAATTTTAAAATATTGCATAATATATTTCCATCAAAACATAATTTATGCAGATGGCGTATAATTGAAAATGACTAGTGTGATACATGTAAAGAAACAAAATTATTTCTCATGTCTTGTTAAAATGTAACAAGGTTAGAGTTTTTTGGAAAATTAATGAAAACTTATATTATAATTACTTTCATGAACAAATAAATATTAATGAAAAAGCTAGTTATAGGTTATGATATTAAAAGAAGGAGAACTTTGTGATAAACTTCATGTTAATTTTAGGAGAATAGATAATAAACATAATGTATATCCAACTTCGGTGTGATGGTAAAGAGTACAATAGTAAAAGTCTGTTCATTAATTTCAAATTAGAACTACGATATTATATAGCAAATAAACAAAGTTTTTTATTGACGAAACACAAAGAAATTTTTCAAGAAATGTTAAGGCTATAACTATTTATTTCATTACTTTTGTCTTTTTGTATTATGTTAAAATGTAAATTGATGTAAATATATAACAAATGTGAAATATGTGAAATAAAACACCTCGGTAAGAGGACAAGAAAAAAAAAATCATCAAAGCTGATTGTATTGGAACCGTCATGTGAAAATTTTCGACAACGAATGATGGAAATTAGTCTGATAGAATGTTGTATCGCCATTCATCCCTTTCTACGAAGGTATGCTGTAACCAAGAGCACATAAATATCATTCTCTAGTTGGCATCTCTTTTGTTTGGTACTAGCTTGCAAGGTTCTGAGAAAACTTTATGACAATTGTTTGCAACATAGTAGATGACAACTCGAAATGAAAGACTGCCAGTGTTATGCAGATTTACTTTTAAACTATGTACTTTTTAACCCGTGCTTTCTCCATCTGAGAGCACACAGTGTCTGGTTCCAAACTACAACTGCGGTGAGTTGGCTACTTCATTAGTTGGTACGTAGTGGGCTACTATAGTTTTGATTTTATGCAAATAGCCCTGATATTTTACAAGCTATTTACAATGATCTTTTTTACGCTTACCTAAAGAGCTGATAGTTGTAGATACCGTAGATATAGTCGATGTGATCCCTCGAGTAGTGTCTTCCTGAGTTGTTTGGCTTTGAGGACAATCAAAGGACTCAAATGAATCATAATCTTGACAATCGGCTATGAAAACGAGAGGGAGAGATTGAAATTGGAAATGTGAATTTTAGTTTTCTTTTAAAAATCAAGAATCTGAGCAGATAGATAGTAGAATGCAGACAATCAATAGAAATACAACATTCGTTACAACTTTATGATTGCATGCATATCATACATTTATGTTAATAGCTAAATTTGAGGTTCTTAATATTTCATTTTTCATTTTTAGTTAATACTTGAATGTTTATGTATTTAGGGATTCTACACACTCAGTTAAAATTTTTGTGAACAAGTTGTTTAAAAGTTTAAACCTCGGATTAACGGGTGACCTGATTGTTTTTAAGGCCTAGATGTGGCTTTTTTAACACCTTTTTGTTCCAGAAAACATCAATCATAATTTCATATTAATGTGAAATAATTAGTTCAATTCCTGGCTAAAATCTACTCTGGAAGTTAATTTATAATGTATTTATTTTGGTTTAAAGAAAGTTGTTTAAAAAGGAGCTGTTGTTCAGTGGGGGTTGTTTACGACAAAAGGGTTGTATAATAAATGGGGTATAATTTGGGTTTGATACTCTGAATAAGTGCACCACTACTTATGGGTCTCTATATAGGTATAAGAAGACTATTAAACAATATGGTAGGGTAATACACCAGTTTACAGTTGTATCAGTGCGCATGCGCAGACAGTTGACCTCGGGTCATTGGCCCTGAAACAGGGCCAATAACCTTTGACCAGTGATATTTATGCGTAAATTAAGATTGCGCTCATGCAAATGATGATGTGCGCGCACAACGCAGCGCGTAGGCAGTGATATCATCATAATTTGCATGGGCGCAATCTTAATTTACGCATAAATACATGACCTCCAGGTCATTGACTTTGTTTAAAATGGCGCACACAACCGTAAACTGGTGTATTCTGCAATTTATGAATTAGCGCCAAAACAGTGCCCATTTTGCATGACAAGCGTTCACGCACGTATAAACTGCATAATAGGGATGCATCCAATCTCTATGGCAAGGAATTTAGCACACGTTATAACCGAGTGCGCGATCAGTGCTGCACTGCATGACGCGACGATTTTAAGTCTACCTATATTCTGACATTTGCGTACAGATACTGACAATTTTATCTGTGAACTTACGCTATGAGTTAAAAACTTCAAATTGGTTAATAGAAAAGTGATTTCAATTTAGCCATTGAATCCCCAGTCACTTAGAAGCGCGTCGGTAGCTTGGTCGGCCATGATGTAAAATAAAGCTTTCAACCAACGCTTACTTTACTGGCACGTGACACATGTCGTCATATGTAAACAACACTGTCTAAAAGCTCTCGTATAGTAAATATAGCAGTCATTTAATTTTAAACAGCGAATGTTTAACAAAATTACTTTCGTTTCGAGCAACGTTGTTTACAATTTGTTCAACTGTTGTTTAAGATAGTGTACAACTGTAAGTGAACATTACTTTTTTAAGCAGCGTTTTACGGTGTAGGATATTTACCGCTTGGAAAATCACCCCGGGCCAATTACCAGCGGGACAATTACCCCCACACCCTCCCCAAAGACAATTACCCCCTGACAATTTCCCCGAAAAAAATTATCTCCCCCCTCCCCCAGGACAACCACAAATTTGGCGTGAAAATTAACGGCTCTTTTTAAAATGACGCCGCTACACCCCCCCCCCCCCTTAAAAAAAAACGCCGCGGCCTTTTTCTTTCGTTCGTTTAAATGTATCACAACTGGATGAAGAAAAAAAGGTTTTACTTGTATTCACTTAAGCTCTGTGATATGCATGGTGTAAATGTGAAGCGTATAATGCTTTCCGTCTGCTCTGCATGTAATGAACAAGGCTAGAAAATTGCGATACGCCATGCACATCAATCCGGAATGAAAATCAGTTTACCATTCCCATGATTCTAGGAGGCACGTTTTTTTTTTTTTTTTTTTTTTGGGGGGGGGGGGGGGTTTACCAATTTTGCGTTAAAACTTGCATCGATTCGACTTTTGTCTTTATAATCCCATCATTGATCATGTCCGTGGCTATTCGTGTTAGAGATTATAATTGAAGCAGAGAGTAGCAGGGATACCGTGGTATATTGGAATATTCACTTGATTTTAAATCGAAGGACTTAGGGTTCGAACCCAAGCCTGGCACTAAAGTCATTGTAAGGGTCTCAGTCTATAATACGATAATCCGATGACCCGGTTAATAATATACCTGTAATGCGCTTAAAGACGAGTTGACGTCGATGTATTAAGTGCTATATAAACCTCGAATATTGTTATTGTAATTAAAATGAATAGGCCAGTTAACGGATAGCCAGTGAGCTCATGTGACTTGACGGGCCAAAGGTCAAATGAGATGTGCTGCTGCCTGCTAGCACAGCTACAACACTGACGACCTCACACTTGAAGGGTCCCTAAATCTTCAACCGAGTATTCGGTTTGCTCAGTTGAAATGATTATCACGTTAGTAACTCAGTATCAATACTAAATTTAAAAAAAACAACGAATATCAATCTATAAATATTTCTGCTAGATTTTAGAACTCCGATACAGTAAATCGCATTTGATTGCAAGCTTAGAATAGGTATATCTTTTGTCACGTAACTGCATTGAAGATGCTGAGTCCACTGTTTACCGGGGGGGGGGGGGCGTTTCTCGAAACCATAACTACAGGATCAACGACATCTCGCCACTGTCACGCAACTTGTCTGCTAAGTGTTTCACGAAGCCGTCTTTGCCAAGATGAGCGACAACTTCCGCGACAATGAGTTGTCACTGCTCCGAACCCGTCATATCTTTTTAATTGCTGTAAAGCGCCATCACAAGTCAGTTTGTTGCTATTCCATGGGCCGCGAAATGTACGATTAGTTCCACTATCATTTTGAGAAAAATATAGACGAGTTCCGTACGTAATATTATGGGATGCGAAATGCAAATGTAAAGAAGTGATAATACAAATTATACAGAAATTTTAAAAAGCTGAATATAAACATTAAATCACAAATCGCTAAACTATAACATATAAATAAAAGAGATAAGAATGTTACACACCGTTGTCCATAGTCGATCCATAGTCTTTTCTTAGGATACCATCATACCTTTGGGGCCTATGTGCATTATTATTCCCTCTCTAATTACTTCTTCCAAATTATATTTTCAATATCAAATTAATTATATAACGAGTATTTATGAGACTCTAGAATAAAAACTGGCTGAGAAATGGTATTTTGCCTAACATTTTTTGTCACAATAAACAAAAAAGTACGTATTGATAAACTATCACATTACGGTATCCTTCAACTACCTTTTGATCGGATTGTCGAGTAAAAAACACTCACCGGTCTTTCTTCAATTTAAGAATCTTTGCAGAAATATGCAAATTGTTTGATGATCTACATTTGATAATGACACTATTTCGTATTTATTTTAGTATATGTTTGTTGTTGAACAATTTTAGCCCCAAAACTTGTTTTGGGTTATTCGTGATAAATCAAATGGATCGTGACAAAGACTATGTTCTTGAGCTGCTAGTATCGCGATATATCGATATCATGTCTGTCATGGCTTCGTGAAACGGTTTATCCACTTCATGACATCTCCGTAGGTCGCCGACAAAGATATGACTGACTGTAATGGAGTTGGTTTCGAGAAACGGCCCCTAGACCTTTCGGCCCGAATTCACAAAGGAGGTTTGTCGACAATCCTAGGTTTATATGCGTCACATGACGCGTTTGGACGCGTTTCGGAGTGTTGGCTCAGTCAGTAGAGCGTCCGCCTCACAACCGGGAGGTCGTGGGTTCGAACCCCGGCCGCGTCATACCAAAAGACGTTAAAAGATGGGAGTTGTTGCTACCTTGTTAGGCGTTCAACAGTAAGGGATAGAGCAACGTCGATCTGGCGCTGCTCAGTGGCTGCCGGGCTCACGATCAATTGGGCAAAAAGAATTTCCGTTTCGGTTTAATAAAATTTGGAGTGGACAATTAGGCTATTATTATTATTATTATTATTATTATTATTATTATTATTCAGACCAACATTTTCATAAACTGCTGACGTCGCACGAGGAAAATGTACTTTCTGTGCAGGGGTAGATTACTTTTCAGCTGTCATTTGTTTAATATTGACTAAAATAATGAAAGGGCCAAAAGGGAGCTGAGGATTGCTGACATCTAACTCCTGAACAATTAAAGATGAATTTGAGTTCTGGTCATGCGGTTGCATTGTGAAAGAAACGGTGTGGAATGGATCAGAAAAAGTTGATTATGTAGCATATAAGTATTGGTGTGTACTGCAAGGTTCTGGAGTCATCAAAAACATAATAAATTTGACCCAGTCTTGGTAAAGTAACAAGCACTGTATACGGAAATATGTATGGGAGTACACAAAGGGTGTCAGGGCTACTAACCTTGATTTCCTTATTTTGTTATGCTCTTTACTCAGCCAGTATAAATTTTCTACCAAAATTGTTTGGCAACTGACATTTATTTGTACTCTTAGATATTCAGTGTAAGTTTCGTTTGATTCTGTGAGATTTTATATTTTTTTAAAACCAGAATTCAAGTTTATCCTTAATTACTGACATCCCAAACACTTACCTAGACATACATTTAGGGGATCTGCATAGTAAAGAGAGAAAAAATACATGAAATATTAAATACTAAACATGAAACATTTAACTTCAATTAAAACAATCTAAAACCCTTCAGTTCCACACCCGATACAGTAACAATTTAGGATTAGATAAAGAGGTTAAACCTCTTCATCATATTATATCTAAATGCGAGACTAATGAAAATACTTCAGTTGGCAAAGCGTTTAGAAAAATAAATTATTCCTTTTTTTTTGTTTGGAGGGAGGGGGGGGGGGAAATATCAGCCTATTAAGTTTTCCATCAAGCGACAGACCACGAACATTGACTTAAAGGTAGTATGTCCCATTTGCAGGCCCCACAACATGAAAAGGTTAAATTCCATTGGCATTTTAAAGATATACTAATTTAGAACTTCCCTAAAAAAAGAGGGGGGGGGGGGTGGGCTTGAAAATGTCTTTAAGTATGAAAATAACGGCTATTAGTTGTCGAATCGACTTAAGAGCTAGAGAGCCAGTAAGTAATAGTCTGATATTCAGACCATTGTACCGAATGGTCGTACGTTTTATGTTGCGCAAAGATTTAATCAGTTTAATTTTGGCCATTACAAGAAGTGCACTGTAAAAAAAAATCTCTGTAATTTTACAGCAAATCTGCTGGCAGCAGAGTCGCCATAAATTATGTTGTAAAAATACAGATTAGTTGTTATTTTCTCCTACAAACATTTCATGTATTTTCTTTTACAAATTGTATGTTGATTAAAATTACATCAGAATGAAAGTAAAAACATAGTACAAAAATGTTGTATAAATACATATGTTTGTTAATTTGGTTTACAGCTTTGGTGTGGAAGTTCCTTTTTGTGTATTTGTATTACAAAAACAGAATTTTGTTAAAGAATCTAGTAACTGCATTCAAATTAAATCACATCGAAGTAAAACTGCACCATATCCATTCAATTTAAGAAATCGATGTACGAATACAGACATCTGTAAAAATACATTTAGGTAAACAATTTCATCTGTAAAATTACAGGCAAACTGTATTAGTAACTCTATTTTGCCTTAAAATTACAGGCAAACTGTTTAAGTAACCCTATTTTGTCTTAAAATTACAAATTTCTGATGTAAGTAAGTCTCACAATAAAAATGAAGTATTTTTACGGGACAGATCTGTAAAATTACAGGCAAACTGTATTAGTACTCTATTTTGCCTTAAAATTACAAATTTCTGATGTAAGTCAGTTTCGCAATAAAAATGAAGTATTTTTACGAGATAGATCTGTAAAATTACAGGCAAACTGTATTAGTACCTGTATTTTGCCTTCAAATTACAAATTTCTGATGTAAATCATTCTCACAATAAAAATGAAGTACTTTTACGGGATATGTGTAGAAAATACATCCGAATTGCTGTATTTAGTTAAAACGTTACAAATCTGTATTTTTTTTTCCTGTAAAAATACAGATATTTTTTACAGTGTGGGTTATTGATGTAGAAAAATGCTCATGTACCCTTTAAAGCTCATTTTATATATGTTATAGAAGAAAGAAAAAAGCCAGTCAGTCACTCAATAGTGTCTTACAGTGAATTCTAGCAAGTCAACGATTTGTTTGCATAATTTGAATATTAGGACACTGCTAACCTTTACATTTCACAGATAGGACATTCATGACATATTCATAACTCCTGCAAAGTTCTACCGAATTTGATGTTGGCTGCAAAAGGGACATCGGAATGTTGGGTGACTTGGAGGTCATTAACAGTAGCAATTTATAGGAATGTACGCAAATGATTAAAATGTTACAGTAGTATTTGCTATACAGAAAACTCTTTTTAGAATTAATGCGGATATTATGTTATGAATAAAGATAAAGATTGTCCAAGAAGGATATTCCTAGATTTCAAATTATGTAAACCATTATGTATATTACAGCGATGTATTTATTGCAAGTTGCATTTGGTTCTTGTATGCAATATCGGATATCTTTCTCATTCCCGCTACACCAGGGATTCTTCAACTTAGGGTCCCCTACAGAGAATAATATCTCACCGCTGCATTTGACGGCTGCGTATTTATTGCAAGTTGCGTTTGGTTCGTGAATGCAATATCGGATATCTCTATCCTTTCTGGTACACCAGGGATTCTTCAACGTAGCGCTATTCGAAGACACTACAGATGGTGGGACGTCCCAGTCTAAGAGTTCCACCAATTGCAATCCGAACATTCGGCAAACAACGGTTGCATCCGCTATCGTGAAGTTATCATCACAAACAGGTCCCCAGGAGCCGTGCTGATAAACCTCGACTCTACCTTCTGAATCACAAGGACCTTCTTCGAGCCGTACTGTGGAAGAATCACAGGGATTTTTCTTTAACACTTGACTTTCTAATATTCCAATTATATTCATATCAATAGGGTCTATACAGCAAACCTCTTCCATCACACACCCCTGAGTAATAAAATTGTAAAGGTGTTAATGGAAGAGAAGTCAATGGCCTGTAAGCCCCCATCACACCAAACTAGTCTCACTACGTTCTGGAACTTAAGAACTCTTTCTAGTTTTAGTGCCAGGACTATCTTGATATTAGGGGATACTGTTAGCGTACATACCTGCATCTTCACAGTCGATGCGCGTCACTTTGTCGCAAGTGGTGCTATCGCTTGTATTGTATATGCAGTGATCAATGCTATTCTCAGTGCCAGTGCAGTTCAGACCAACATTGGTAATTGGAAGCCAATTTTCGTTATAGTTCATATTCTGTATTGAATCCAAACCTGGATAGTCCAGCATCCCGCACAACACCTGTCCATCTCGTATGTCACTACTATTGCCACAGAGTGAACCCCAACCTGTAGTCTCAGTGTAGAGCTCTACTCGTCCTTGTTGACGCATCAAAATATCGTTGTCAATGAACCGTACTGGAATAGATAGATTGAAAACATCTATGCATGAGAAATATTTAAAAAAAGGATTCCCATCTGCAGTACCCTTGTATATAATAGTGCTGCTGGCATCTCGTGTTAACATATTCTAGCTCTCAATCTAAATTAAAGAATTATTTTCGAGAAGAAAAAAAAGAAAAAGAAAATATTTTCGTTTAAATTGGTTTACCAAAATAACAATTCAAAGACATTTGTAGACTAAGCAGATGCTTTTATTCATCTTTCTCCCCCACCCCCCTCTTCTCCTCTCTCCTCTTCCCTCCCATTTTATACTCTTCTCTCTCTTTTCATTTTCTCCATCTTTTGTGTTGCTCATGCAGTAATAAACAAGACCTGTGATCGTGCGTACGATACACGCGCGCTATCGCGGCATTTAGTTTCAAGGCAAAGGTTATAAGGTGAAAGGAATTTAGCATAAATAGGTCACTATTCATAACATTATGTCTGATTATGAATGGAGAAAAATTGTTAGGGCTACGGGCTAACATAGAGTTAGAAAACTACAACAAAATCAGATCAAGGCAATGTTTCCTCTAAAAGAAATGTTAATCATGTAGGACATGAAACAAAAGTTATAGACCCAAAAGGGGCGCAAAATAATGCACGCCAAGTTTAAAAAAGATTGGATTCGAAACGGTATCTAAGTTAGGGCGATATTCAATTTGATAAGACAATGACCAAGATAAAGATCGGGACTGCCAAACGCTTCGGATAAAGGCAATGTTTAATACCAAGAAGATTAAATCAGGAAAGAAAATTTCGCCTAGCATGTACGTCACCCTTGAGTGATATTAAAGAAGGAAGACCGTAGTGGACCACTTGACATGCATATCTAAAGCGCAGGAAATTTGATGAAAATTGAAAATCAGGAAATGGCCCAAGACGATGCTCAATAAAAAGTCTGGTAGAAAAAGAAGAAAAAGAAAATGACGGAAGAATATGGAACAAGAAAAGACACAACGGAAACGTGGCGTTACCGTGCAATAACATGATTGCAAATTAATGGCTGTTTCTACACATGAAATAGCCCACAAACAGGATATCCTGTATTATAATGACATATGATAAACAGGAAACACTAATAATAATAATAATAATAACATCGAATATTTAGGAGCGCTAAAAACAATAAGCACCATAGCGCTTACAAATACAAATATATGAAAAGAGGACAAAAATGTACAGTACAGGAAGTATATCACATAGATCATTGGGGGAAAAGGTGAGTTTTGAGGGATCTTTTGAAGGTGGCAAGACAGGTAATTTCCCTTATGGACTGAAACTTAAACTTACATTTGTTGAAGTACGTGTTGATCACTATTATTTGTACATTATGTTTGTATTTTAGAGAAGATATTGTTCTGCGACGAATAATTTTTTTTAAAACTCAACACAAAATAAAAGAAACCCCGTTGACGACAGAATAGTGTAACATATTTTTGCCTCTTAAGGTCATGTCACTGCTTCTATATTCACTTTATTATAATTGTCTCTTAGTTTGATTATTATATGATTATAGTTTGATTATAAATATTGATTATATAAAGGCACATTGCAAGTAAACAAGAAGAATTCCATATCTTACTAACGCTAAATATTTAAAATTGTAGCAATAGTGATTAGGGCTTAGTGAATTGACGTATAAAATAAAGGTAAGCCAGGTTTGTTTTTAATAAATATTATCATATGCTTTGCTGGAGGGGGGCAGGGGGTAATTGGATGCAATTATAATATTTCATTTAAAATGGAATATTACTTGGCCTTATCGGATTCAAGCACCGTAGATATAATTATGATGTGGGATTAGCTAAAAAAAAGAGTTGAAATTTAGAGGGGAAAAAATCGAAACTAACAACATTTAAATACATACAAAACGATTATCGTGCTAAGAAACCGAACGAGCGTTCGAGTGGAAAAAGTCTAATACAAGGCTAGCGGCGCTTTCCGTTCCTGGAGGTTTAAAAACTATGGCCTTTAGTTGATCTAAATTGTTTTGATTTGATCGACGACTTTCGTCTTCTCACTTTCATGTTTATACTCACCAGTATTGTTTGTACACAAGACCCAAACAACTAACGAGCATTTAACAGGGGACGTGGTCGATATGCATTCGGAAAGTGTTTGCTCCCTTCCATTGAGGCAGATATAACTATCACGAAGGACTTGCACGGAAATAGGATCAAAAGGGATGGAGGACGCAACACGTTGAGTGAATGATTCAATCCCAATGAAGCCGAGCATACGACAAGCCACCTCAGCGCTCTGGAGATTCCAAGGCTCACCGCATAGAAGCCCCCTGCTTAAACCATCGTCTTTGAGAACGAAACCTTCGCCCGGTGCATTGCCATGAAGTAACGAGATGTTGAGTCCTGCTTCTAGGTTTTCATTGAGATTAAAAGGGGTTTAGTTTAATAAAATCACAATGATACACTTTTCAATAATGAGTCTTAAAAGGTTTGCCAAATGCTTGCCAATGGTAGTATTTAAAAATAGAGTACAACAGACAATATTCGAACATATACAGTCTAGGGTTTGTCCAAAAAAATTGCAACCTAAGGTTTTTCAACGGTTTCCGGTAGTGTTTGACGTCAGGAATCATGTGCAAAAATCTAAGAAAATCGGACCTCTGGAAAGTGATAATTTTCATAATGGCGTCCAAGATGGCCACCAGTACCTTAATTTAGAATTTTCATCAAAACGATAGGGCTTGAAAATGTCTTTCTGTGGGAAAATAACAACCATTAATTGTCGAATCGACTTTAGGGATTGCAATACTTTTAGTAAATAGTCTGATTTGCAGACCCGTGTACCGAATGGTCGTATGTTTTGTGCTGTGCAAAGGGTTCAATTAGTTTAATTTTGGCCATTACACGAAATGAGTTATTGAAGTAGACAAATGGTCATGTACCCTTTACAACTCATTTTATGTATGTTGTTACCAAATAAAAAATGAAGTCAGTCAGTCACTCAATAGTGTCTGACAGTGAAGTTTAGAAAGTAAACGGGGTTCCATGCATAATTTGTATACTAGGACACGACTAATGATTAAGTTTCACAGATGGGATATACGTTACATATTCATAATTCCTGCATGTATAGTTCTACAGAATTTGATGTTGGCTGCGAAAGGGACATATTACTTTTAATTGGTCATAAATCATGATATCACTGGGATGTTGGTGTCTATACCCAGGTTGAGGGGGGTCGGGGAATCTATTTACGCCACGTCCAAAAGGATACTGCCACCATAAAACCTGGTAATACACTTGCATGATTATACAAATTAGAGTAACTCTTTAAATCTGTTTCTTATGATGTATATGGTGAAGGAATTTTATTTACTCGTCCTGTAGGGTCCTTTGGTGAGGTACATTAAATACAGGATATCAACCAACTCCTTGTCCCCATAAGCAAGCACGTAGCCAGAGTTTGATGGGGTTTTTTTTTGGGGGGGGCACGTGCCCCCCCCCCCCGTGACCCCCCCCACCCGTGGCTACGTGCCTGCGCATAAGCCCATCTGCATTGAGTCTGAGCAAGTAGGTGATGTAGTTACACTGACGGCTCCAACAGCGAAATGGCGTTCACCAAAATGGGATTGTTGCTTCCGAAGTAAAATTTAACGCTTAAAACAATGCACCCGACTGATTTCGAAAAAAAATGGTGCTCAAAGTTACCAAATATTTTGTTTTAAGAGCCCACCACTGTTTTGTATGCATTTCAGAACACATATTATGATTGAAAATGTTCGTTTGGGGTAGAAAACCCACTATGAACGATACCGTGTGAGTCAAAAAAAAAAAGTTTACACCTAAAAAATTGCTAATTATTTTAAAAATCATAAGAGGACATATATATTTTTTATTTTTTTGGTCCCAAAATTTGAAAATTTGGCCGAACGATATTTCGTTTCGGGAGGGGGGTAAGGTCTGCTTTTTTGGGTCACCCATTACCACAATTGTTTTAAAAAATTTGTTATATTTTTTATATATTTTTTTTTATTATATAAAAAAGAAAGGGGGGGGGTCCTTCAAAACACACACGTAAAAAAGTTAAGGGGGGTTCAACAACCCCCCCCCTCCCCCCATGCGTACGCGCCTGATTATGGGTATGACGCTTTGATATCCAAATATGTCCCAGGTACCCAGCATCTGATGTTAAGGGCCTACATATAACATGATAACTCATGATTCAAGAGCATCAAACTATATGATACGCAATTTCTATTACCCTAGAAACAAGTTTAAAGCAGCCAATTTGACTATCTAGAGCTGCTGGTCCTTT